GTTTTAATTGTTTTCAGCTTTACCTTGAACTGGCATATGGGTAGTTGATGATCTGTTCCACAGTTAGCTCCTGGCCTTGTTTTGGGTGAAGATATTGAGCTTCTCCATTGCCTCTTTCCACAGATGTAATCAATTTGATTCCTGTGTACTCCATCTGGTGAAGTCCACATGTATAGCTACCATTTATGTTGTTGAAAAAGTTATTTGCAATGAATAAGTCATTGGTCTTGAAAATTCTATCATGTGATCTCTAGCATCATTTCTATCACCAAGGCTATATTTTCCAACTACTGGTGAGTCTTCTTTATTTCCAACTTTTATGTCCAATCACCAGTAATAATCAACACATCTCGATTGCATGTTTGGTCAATTTCAGACTGCAGAAGTTGGTTTAAAAAAAAAAAAAAAAAAATTCCAATATCCTTGTCTTTGGCCTTGGTGGTTGGGCAGGCTAGGTGGCTGGAAACTCAGGCATGAGTTGGTGTTGTGGTTGTGAATAGAAAATCTATAGGGCATACTGGCAGACTGGCAACTCAGATGGGATTTTATGGTATAGTCTTGAGGACAGATTCCTCAAGATTCAAGATCAAGATATTTGAATTTTTGCTCTTAAGGCCTTCAATTGATTGGCTGAGGCCCACTCACATTACTGAAGATAATATCCTTTATTTAGTGTCAATTGATTATAGATGTTAAGCCCAGCTACAAAACACCTTCAGTGAAACATTTAGACTATTGTTTGACCAAATAACTGGGCACAATAGCTTAACCAGGTCTATGCATAAAATTAACCATCATAGATGCCTGCCACATTTATGGCTTTCAGACATGGATGGATGTCATTTTCTGAGAAAGGAAACTCCAAACCAGCTTGGGAGAAGATCATAATTTGGATATTTTGAGTTTAAAGTTCATTCAAGATGTCCAAGTGGAGATATTGAATATCTCAGAGCAAAGTCCAGACTACATATGTAAGTTTTATAATTTATGACATATAGATGATAAATGAAATTATGGGCATGAAAGACATCACCCTAAGGATAAAATATAAAGTAAAGAGAATAGGGTCGTGGACTGAGCCTTAGGGAACTACAGCATTTAACCAAAAAACCAAATGCACTGCCATCGAGTTGGATCCAACTCATAGTGACCCTTCCTGGGGCTTCCAAGGCAGTATCACTATGGAAGTAGATTCCCCAACCTTCCTTCCAAGGAGTGGGCTCAGGAAATGAAGGAGTATTAGAAAGAAAGAGAAGCCAGGGAAGAATGAAAATCAAGAGAGCCTTCCAAACCAGAATAAAAGGTCAACAGGGTCCTTTCCTGATGAGATGATGAATCCTATAAGAGGATTCCACTCCATGGAATGAAGATGGGGCAATCTACTTCTGTAAATATATACTGCCTTGGAAACCCAGTGGGGGTCGCTATGAGTCAG